ATATATATATATATACTTTTTTTTATGTGTATGCGTGTATTGCCTGCATGTCAGTAAGTGAACCCATGTCGTGCAATGCCTGTGGAGGACAGAAGAGATTGTCAGGTCCCCTGGAACTGGAGCTATAGACAGTTGTTAGCTGCCATGTGGGTGCTGGGATTCGAACCCAGTTCTTCTGCAAGAATGGTGTTCTTATCTACTCAGCCATCTCTCCAGCCCCATATTTTGTATATTTTTTAAAAATAGAGAGACATATTCTCACTCTGTAGCCCAGACTGTCCTGAAACTTACTATGTAGATAAGGATAGCTTTGAACTTATAGCCAACCTCCTGCTTCTATCTCTCAAGTGCTGGGATTACAGGTGTGAGCCACCACACCTGGCCTCCAATTTTTATTCATCAGTAAGATCAATATCACGTAAACAAATGAAGTCAATAGTAAATAGCAAATTCATATTCAGAATAGTCAGCCTACATAATTTCTATTATTATGCCTGATTTCAGATAGGTACAACTCAGCCATTCCACTAAACTATTAGAACATAATCTAAATCAGAGTCTGAACTATCAGAGCATGAACACTGCTGCATGTCAGGGTCTCGCTGAAAGCAGACACTTTATGCAGGAAGGTTAACAGGGGAGTGTTTTGGAAATCAACCTAGGAAGGGAACAGAAGGAAAGAAGTGCTAGACTTGAGGCCAGGCAAGGTGGAACATGCCTTTAATGCCAGCATTTGGGCAGCAGAAGCAGGTGAGTTTGAGGCCAGCTTGGTCTACATAGTGAGTCCTAGGTCAGCCAGGGCTACATAATGAGAACTTGTCTCAAAAAAACAAAACAAAACAAAACAGTGCTAGGCTTTAATGCAGACAACAATGACCCCACAGAGAACAGCTCAGGGGTAGAATGGCTCTACAGAGTTGTTTCCAGTTAGTAAAGAGGTAGGACCAGGCCTTTGTATTTCCACATGAAGTAACTAAAGGTTACAGGACCCAGGAACGGGATACGACCTGAGGTGAGTCAGGGCTCTTCAACAGGGAAAATTCCCAAAGTGCACTGACAGCTGGAAATTAGTCAGCAGCACTTCCAGCAATTAAAAACCAAGTCTTTTAATGCTGAAAGATTATCTGGGCAGCTAGGCCCAGCATCCAATACTAGCACAATTCAAAATAAGAAAAGGTATATTCAACTATCATACAAGCCTCACAGCCCAAGTATACAGAGCAATTACATCATGCATCATTATTCCATGTCACTGCTCACTGTTTTCATTTATTTTTGTTTTGCTTTGCGTGCATGCTATATGTGTGCTGGCTCATGAGTGCATGTGTGTGGGGGGTACACGTGGAGGGCCAGAAGTATGTATCAGCTGTCTTCCTCTATAACTCTGCCTTATTTTCACAGGGAAAAAAGTCACCGAATCCGGAGTTCACTGATTCTGCAAAATCCTCTGGCCAGAGAGCTCCAGAGATCTTCCTGTATGCCTTACCAGCACTTGGATCACACAGGCATATCATCACCACACCCACCATTTTACAGGGGTGCTGGGGATCTGATCTCTGGTACTTGCATGGGAAGCACTTTACCAACTAAGCCATCTCTCCAGCCCCTTTAGGAATTTAAAGGATAAATGTACAATGCATGAAGACATTTTAGAATTATTACCTGCATATATATAAATGCACCACAGGCAGGCAATGACCACAGGGACCAGAAGAGGGCATCAGATCCCCTGGAACTGGAGTTACAGATGGTTGTGAACCGCCACGTGAGTGCTAGGAACTGAACCCTCTGTAAGAGTTGCCAGTGCTCTTAACTCCTGAGCCATCTCTCTAGCCCCAGTCTGGGCTTGAACTTCCAAGGCTCTTAATGTTTCTGTTTTCCAAGTGTGGGATTACAGGCTTATGCAGCTGTGTCAACCTCCATTTTCATTTTTGACAAAAGTTATTTTATAGCTTAATTTTTAATTTTGCAATAATTCAGTAAATAAGATTTTCTCTGTCTTAAAAAGATCAAAAAGAAAAAAAAAACACAATATGAACACTCAAGCCGGGCGTGGTGGTGCACGCCTTTAATCCCAGCACTCGGGAGGCAGAGGCAGGCGGATCTCTGTGAGTTCAAGGCCAGCCTGGTCTACAAAGTGAGTTCCAGGATAGGTGGGGCTACAGGGAGACCCTGTCTCAAAAGAACAACCAAAAAAAGAAAAAAAGATTTTCTTACTCATCTAAATTAGTGATGTTTTCTCATGCATGATGGTACTTTAGGAAAACTTATTCTGAATGTGCCAACAGTTGAAGATCTGTCATACACAAATAAACCTTAAAAATTTAGTAACATAAGCAGCTTTCTGAATAACTTACGCTCCTGTATATGGATAGATTTCAGTAAAGAACAGATTATTTAGGCTGCTGAACAAGACCACTTAAGAAAAAACATGAATAAAAAGAAAACAGGGCTAGATAAATACATTCAAAAGATAAATAAACCCTTACTGGCAACTTCTAAA